TCCGTGCGCGGCCTGGCGCCCGGGCAGCCGGTCACGATGCGCGCGTCCCTGCGCGACGAGAGGGGCGCGCGCTTCCGGGCCCACGCGCGCTACCGCGCCGACGCCCGCGGCGAGCTGGACCTGGCGCGCGCGCCGGCGCTGGGCGGCAGCTTCGCGGGGCTGGAGCCCATGGGGCTGCTCTGGGCGCTGGAGCCCGAGGCGTGTGAGCCGCCCTGGGCGCGGCTGGTGAAGCGCGACGTGCGGACGCCGTTCGCCGTGGAGCTGGAGGCGCTGGACGGCCACGGGCCCGCGGCCGGGCGGCTGCTGGGCCGGGCGCTGCACGAGCGCCACTTCCTGCCGCCCGGGGTGCGGCGGGCGCCGGTGCGCGCCGGCCGGGTGCGCGCCACGCTCTTCCTGCCGCCAGGTGAGCCGGACAGCCCCCTATTCCTCTGTCCCTCGCGCTTTTTTACGGAGACAGGAGGGGACGCCCGACTTCCCAGAGGTCAGTTTCAAGGGCACGGGAGTGGAAGGGAAGACCGCCTGGGGAATTAGTACCGCCGCTCTCAAACCCAGAGATCTCTCGAGCCCGATGCGCAAAAACGTAAGAAAGAGAAAAGACACGGCTCCCAGCACTTTGGGAGGCCGAGATGAGAGGATTGCTTGAGCCCAGGAGTTCAAGGCCAGCATGGAAAATTTTTTTTAAAATTAGCCGAATTTGGTGGCACATGCCTGTAGTCCTAGCTACTCGAGAGGCTGAGGTCCAGTCTGGGTGACAGAGTCAGACCCTAACTCAAAAAACAAACAAGCAAAACTTGTAATAAACAACAACAACAACACGTATAGGTAGTTTTAGTTTTGTGTGTTTGGGTTTTTTTTTTTTTTGAGTTGGAGTCTCACTCAGTCGCCCAGACTGGAGTGCAGTGGCCACTTCCGGCCACCGCAGCCTCGCCTCCCGGGCTCTGGCAATCCTTCCGCCTCAGCCTTCCAAGTAGCTGGAATTACAGGCATGCGCTACCACACCCAGCTGATTTTTTGATTTATTGTAGAGATGAGGTCTCGCTGCCCAGGCGGGTCTTGAACCCGCGGGCTTAGGCAATCCACTCACCTCAGCCTCCCAAAGGCGCGGGTTTACAGGCTGAGCCACTGAGCCCGGCTTTTTTTTTTTTTTTAATTGAAGTTTCACTCTGTCGTCCAGGCTGTGGTGCAGTGGCATACTCACAGCCACCGCAGCCTTGACCTACTGGGCTCAGGCGATCCTTCGGCCTCAGCCTTCCGAGTAGCTGGAACTCAGGCACGTGCCACCATGACCGGCTTACATTTTGATTTATTGTAGAGACGAGGTCTTACCAAGTTGTCCATGCTGGTCTCCAACCCCTAAACTCAGGCAATCCTCTTGCCTCGGCCTCCCAAAGTGCTGGGATTACAGGCTTGCGCCACTGCGCCTGGCCAGTAGTTTTAATTTTCTTTCCTTTTTTTTTTTGAGTTGGAGTCTCACTCTGTCACCCAGACTGGAGTGCACGCTCCTGGCCACCTCAGCCTCCACCTGCTGGGCTCCAGCGATCCTTCCGCCTCAGCCTTCCAAGTAGCCAGAACTATAGGAGCGCCCTACCACTCTGGCTAGTTTTTGATTTATTGTAGGATGAGGTCTCACCAAGTTGCCAGGGCGGGTCTTGAATCCACAGAGCTCAGGCAATCCACTTGCCTTGGTCTCCCAAAGTGCTGGGATTACACACCGAGCCTGGCCTAATTTTTAATTTACTTTTAAGTTTCTTGGTTCTGCAGATTTCCTTTCAACTTTAGCTGTATGTTCAGGTTTGTAAATTTTGCATTTACAAGAGGAAGAAGGCCTCTTACTGTCAACTGGAAATCTGACAATTTTGGATATTTTTATATTACACGAAGAGCTATTGGCCACTGAAAAAATGAAAAGATGTTTATACTTTTTAAAAATCAAGGAAATGCAGACTAAAACTATAGGAGTACATTTCATATCCTTAAAAGTGCCAAAAATTTAGAAGTCTGACCTTAGCAGTTGTTGAACAGTATGTGAAGAACATGAAAGTCACACTGCTAGAAGGGCGCAGAGTGTTCATCGACCCTGGGAAACAATGTCTTCACTTAGAAAGTTGAATATGTCCTTCTACTCATTGTACATGTGCACCAGGAAGTATATAGTTTATAAGAGCAAAAACTGCAAACAGCCTAAATGCCCAAGTGTCTGTCAACATTAGAGCTGATGAGTAAATTGAGGTATATTTGCAGCTGTCAATGTGATTGACTACAGCTGCAAGAATCAACAAGGGTGAATCTCCAGGACGGTGTTGAGTGAAACAAACTCCAGAAGAACACATTCAATATATTCGATTTAGAGAAAATTTGCAAACAGGTAAAATAAGCAAAATATTGTTTAAGGTACACATGGTACATGTAAGTGGTAATACTATGAAGAAAATAAAGAGAATGACAAACAAAAAATCCAGGATAGTGGAGAGGGAGGAAAGGGTACAGGTACTTGGGTCATTGATATGTTGGTACTGAACTCTTCTTAGACAGTGTTGCCTATAAAGTGTTTGCTTTATTCTTTCAATTTCATATGTGAAATACAGACTTTTTGTGTAAATGTTGAAATAATCCCAACACTTTGGGAGGCCAAAGCAGTAGAATTGCTTGAGTCCAGGAATTCAATGCCAGCTTTGGCAACATAATGAGACTCCTGTCTCTACAAAAAAAATTAATAATAATAATACAAAAATTAGCTGGGGATGGTAGCACACACCTGTCATCTCAGCTACTGGGGAGGCTGAGACAGGAAGATTGCCCAGGAGGTCAAGGATGCAGTGACCTGGGACCATGCCACTGCACTCCAGCCTGGGCGACAGAGTGAGACCCTGTATCATTTTATTTTTAATTTATTTTATTTTTATTTTTTTTTGAGTTGGAGTCTCACTCTGTCACCCAGACTGGAGTGCAGTGGCCGCTCCCGGACACCGCAGCCTCGACCTGCTGGGCTCCGGCGATCCTTCCGCCTCAGCCTTCCAAGTAGCTGGAACTACAGGCGCACGCTACCACGCCTGGCTAATTTTTTATTTATGGTAGAGATGAGGTCTCGCCAAGTTGCCCAGGCAGGTCTCGAACCCGCGGGCTCAGGCAGTCCACTCACCTCAGCCTCCCAAGGTGCGGGATTACAAACTGAGCCACCAAGCCCGGCGAGATCCTGTATCTTAAAAAGAAAAAAACAATAGTGGAATCATACAGAATGAATATGTAGCCTTTGAATCTTTCTCCATTCACTAAGTGGATTCTGCTAAGTGAATGCATGTGGGCTTTTTTTCTTCTTTTTTTGCATTGGGGTTTCACTCTGTCATTCAGGATGGAGTGCAGTGGTGCAATCATGGTTCACTGCAGCTTCGATCTCCAGGACTCAGGTGATCCTCCCACCTCAGCCTCCCAAGTAGCTGGGACTACAGGCACGCACCACCACACCCAGCTAATTTTAAAAATTTTTTTGTGGAAACAAAGCCTCACTATGTTGCCCAGGCTGGTCTCAAACTCCTGGACCTGAAGCAATCCTCCTGCCTCAGCCTCCCAAAGTGTTGGGATTGCAGGCATGAGCCATTATGCCCGGCCACATTGAGATTCATTTGTGCTCTTCTATGGGCCAGTTATTTTTGTGTCTTAGTAGTATACATTATATAGGTATACCATAATTTATTATTTGGAGATAAGAATAAAGTCACTGCAAACACTTGCATGCACACATTTCTCATGAGTAAATACTGAGGAGTGGAATTGTTGGGTCACATAATAAGTGCATGTTTAACCTTATAAGAAACTTTCCAACTCTTTTCCAAAGTGGCCATGTCATTTTGCATTCCTACCAGCACTGTATGAGAGTTCCAGTTGCTCTGTGTCCTCTCTAGCATTTGGCATTGTCAGGTTTTGGGGAGAGGCAATATCTTTGTTGCCATTGTTTGTTTGTAAATTATTTTTCATCTCAAAAGCTTTGAGGCTCTGGGTATGGGGGGGATTGTGGATTTAGCCTGTGCCACTCTCTGGATGTTTGAAGACAGAGGTCTTTCAGCATTTCTAATTGTCAGTAGAAAATGTTAACATCACCAAATAGGCAACAAATGGCTTTCGATACCACCGCAAAGAGTTTCAGGAATAGCTTTGTGTGTTTTTCTTTCCAAGAACCTGGGCCCTTTCCTGGGATTGTGGACATATTGGGAGCTGGAGGTGGCCTTCTGGAATACCGGGCAAGTTTGCTGGCTGGGAAGGGCTTTGCTGTGATGGCTCTGGCTTATTATAAGTATGAAGACCTCCCCAAAAGCATTGACAACCTCCACCTGGAGTACTTTGAAGAAGCCGTGAACTACTTGCGCAATCACCCTGAGGTTAGTTGATCTTTCAGACTTTTGGTTCTGTCAGAATGTTTCTAAATATCTCCCCTAGCCAAGGTTAGATTAATTTTAAACTCATTCACCTGAGGATGTGCTATAACAAAATCAAATATTTAGTCTTCCAAATTCACAGAGAAAAGTAAATACCTGAGCTGGGAGGTGCGTCGTGGAACAGCTGATGGCCAGGCTTATGTTCGAGTTGCGTAGGGAGAGTGAGCATTCTGCTTTGCCCTGGACCAATGCCTTTCTGTGCTAAGAGCAGGATAGGCTGAGGTGTAACAGGGACTTGGTCACTTTAGCAGCATCACTGCTGTTTTGTGGTGATGTGAACTTGTCTCCAACCTCAGCTTGGTGGAAGAGTTGAATGAGTAACACTTGTGAAGTCTTTGGTATGGGCCTGGCATTTAAAGGTCAAATCCTGTTCATTTGTGCAGTGAGTGCTGGGTGTAGGCACTGGGCATACAGAGGCAAGGAAGATGGCCACATCCCATGAGCTGAGTGTTCTGAATGTCGGGGGCGGGGCTAGGCAAGAAATATGTTTAAAATTCAAAGTGCTAACCAGAAAATTAACAGGGTACTGATGAACAGTGGACGTGAAAGTGGATGGGACTGGAAGGCCCAGGGAGTGCCTCACTTAGCAACGACTGTAGAAAGGCTGCCTACAAGTCCTTGAGTGCAGTAGCACCATCTATCATCACCCAGTAGGTACTTCTAGCCATTGCATGTTCTCAAGCTTATACCACTTGTATGTTAGCAACAAAAATAAATATTTAAGCAAATTATAATGATGTGTTTATTTAGTTATAAATAATTATTTTCTTTCTTTCCATATTGATTAATACTTCTCAAATAATGATTTAGAAGCTGCAAGTAGACTTATGTTGACGGTTTGGCTTTTTTCATATATATCTGATTATGATTTTAAAAAAATTTTTTAATAGAGACAGGGTCTTGCTATGTTGCCCAGACTGGTCTTGAACTCCTGGCTTCAAGTGATCCTCCCACCTCGGCCTCCCAAAGTGCTGGTCTTACAGGTGTGAGCCACTGCACCTGGCTCAATTATGAGTCTATACTACATATATATAATGTGTCTGTTAGTTAACTATTTAATTCCTGCAAATGTTCTTTGGAAAAATAACTATTCATTTCAGGAAGAAACGTTTTCTTTGAAGCCCAGCCTTCTCTTCCTAGAACTTACATGTGTGTTTTGGAATCACACATGGATGGGGTGCTACTTATGCCACCTTACACTTCTTCAGGTTACCATGAATGTCTGAGTGAGGAGCCCACTGAAGTGTAAAGGCACCAAGACTGAACACAGCATGTTTCTGGATTTGTCTGAGTGCTTTTTACTGGCAAGCACCATGCTAAGTGCTGTCCACATGATTTCTCACTTGGCCTTAGACTCTGTAGTGCTGGCATCAGCTTCGTTTTCCTGGCCTCATAACTTTCTAAAGCTCAGGCTCTGGTAGAGACCAGATTCAGGTCCAGGCCCAACTGACTTCCAGGGATGGGCACAACTCACTGTGCTATGCTGTTCATGAACTCATTCTCCTTTACCCTGTCTCTTTCTCAGGTACGGGGCCCAGGAGTGGGGCTGCTTGGAATCTCCAAAGGGGGTGACCTGTGCCTTTCCATGGCCTCTTTCCTGAAGGGCATCACAGCCACTGTCATCATCAACGGCTCTGTGGCCAATGTCGGGGGGGCCTTACACTACAAGGGGGGGACCCTACCCCCTCTGGGTGTCAACCCAAATCGAATTAGGGTGACCAGTGATGGCTTTGCAGACATCATAGATGCCTTGAACAGCCCTTTAGAAGGACCCGATCAGAAGAGCTTTATTCCTGTGGAAAGGGCCGAGAGTGCCTTCCTGTTCCTTGTTGGTCAGGAGGACCGCAACTGGAATAGTGAGTTGTATGCTGCTGAGGCTTCCAAGCGCTTGCAGGCCCACGGGAGGGAGAAACCCCAGGTCATCTGTTACCCAGGGGCAGGGCACTATATTGAGCCGCCTTACCTCCCCTTTTGCCAGGCATCCCTGCACGCCTTGGTGGGCAGACCTGTCATCTGGGGCGGGGAGCCCAGGGCTCATGCTGCTGCCCAGGTGCATGCCTGGAAGCAACTCCAGACTTTTTTCCACAAACACTTGGGTGGTGGAGAGGGGGCAATCCCAGAAAGGCTCTGATGTGGAGTGGAGTGTTTGGCATCTATGATGCTAATCTCTCCTGGGAACAGATGCCATAGTTTGTGTGTGTGTGTGTGTTCCTTTTCTCTTTTAAATACCCACTTGAAATTTCTCCTCATCACTGTTAAAGTGAACTTACCAGTAAGAATGAGTTTGTTAGATTTTTATAAACGGAACACTATCAATTTGGGAGGGGAGTGATTCTGCAAAAGACACAAGATAGAAAAAACGTACCTCTTCTGTCTCACAGCACACAACCGTAAAGCTTTAGTTCTGAGAGGAAAAGTAACACCAACTAACAGTTATATAACAGTAATGTACAGTGCCTGGCACATTATTGGAGTTCAGTAACTATTTGCTAAATGACTGATCACTAAATGAATGATTACCTACTATGGAAGAAAAGCATATACTCTCAAAAGTATTATAATATCAGATTTCAGTTTCTCTTTTAAGAATGGAAGTTAATATCTTAGGTATAAATGGATTACTAGTTAAATATAAAACTACTAAATTTTTTTTTTTGAGTTGGAGTCTCACTCTGTCCCCCAGGCTGGAGTGCAATGGCATACTCATGCTGGAGTGCAATGGCATACTCATGGCCACTGCAGCCTCGACCTGCTGGGCTCAGGCAATCCTTCTG